GTCCGTGCTGCCCCCCCGAGGGCCCCCGGTGCCCCCGGGTTCGGCCGCTGCTCCTCGCTGTGTCTGTGCCACATTCCTCCCGGCCTGGGGAACTCGGCAGACCTGTTCCATGGATTATGTCCCTCCGCGTTTCCTTCGCGCTGTTTCCTGCTCTGTTTTGTTCATTTCCGTCGTTTCTCCTGCATACTGAAGCAATTTCTGTTGGATTGAGGACTGTTCGTTTCCGTTTGTGAGCTCATCAGCCTTGCGGGGCACACTTAAACAGACGCAGCACTACAGCTGAGAGTAGCTGGAGTTTCTTCTTCGTGGAGTTCCGAAGCTGATGGGTCAGATTCTGTAAGATGGTCAGGGAGGAATTTGTTGCTTGTAGTCAGCTGTGGTGTAGTCACTAATCTTTATATTTGTTTAATCTGTGGTGTAGTCATTAATCTTTACACTTATTTAATAGAATCCACAGACAGTTTTGACACGTGTGTGTTGTTCTGGTGACACTGAATGGGAGGGGATGGAGCTGCAGAATGTTTGGTTTGCAGGTAGTTTTGGCCTGCAGCTATTTCAGAAGTTCAGCTGACTTCCAGGCTTGCCCTGCTTGGAGAGGAGAGCGTTGGCTGCCTGTGCATGGAGGCACACGGAGCTTTGCCTTTTATTCCCAGTGTGCTGAAAAGCCTTTTCCTTTATAGGACAACACAGGTAGGGTGAGGTTTCTCCAAGGTTCTCCCAGCCTTTACTTTGCTGTGCAGGTCTGAGCTCAGGTGGAGTTCTTTGTGTTGTGGATTAACAGGAGGGCACAGGGGCAGGTGATCCAGGTGTGGAGCTGGTGCACACTTGGGAACTGAAGTAGCAACCTACACCACTTATCACATTTGAAGGAACCCTTTGAGCCTTACATCTTTATGGAGACCTTCCTGGATACTGCTGGTGATAGTGGTGCTTGTAGCTGAACAACAAATGTTTTTTTCCCTGAAATAGCTATTCATGTAAAAAGTGCAAGATCTTCACCTTGGTTAATTTTAAACATTGTTGTTGACCTACCCAGTGGGGTAAAGGTGCATGGAAGGTTGATGGCTTCTGTTTTGTGTAGCTTCAAGGAACTTAGCAGTGGTATGAACTTGCCTAAGCAACTTGCCTAACCACGTTGTAGCACTCTTTGGAAGAGGGAAGTCCGTGGTTTGTGGTTTTCCTTGTCTAAGTGCGCCTTTTCCTTTAATGCAGCCTTGCTGCAAGCAAACTGTTGGTAGCAGGAAGAAGCAGATTTGGGATCTGCTCAGCTCTGTGACACATTTCTTGTGCCATCCTGTGCTGAACTAAGATTCTTGACTCCTTAATATGCCTGCACTGCCTTTGGGTTTTTGGATAGCATTTATCTGTGTGCCAAATGCTCTTTGTGCACAAGCTTTCATTCTGTTTTCCTTGCTTGCTTGCATCTAAGTAAACCAGCTCTCTCTGGGGCTTTCTGGCAGTTCTAGCAAAAACTATTCTAGCTGTGTTATAACTGTTTTAAGTATTTTCTGGAAGGGCAATAGGCCAGTGGCATCACTCCCCCTTCCTAAGTCTGAGGGTAGCCCAGTGCTGGCTGTACAGTCTCCATGGGATTATTCATTCAAGAGTGTAATTCCTTCCTGGTAGTCTAGTTGTTCTCTACTGAATGAAGTTTGCCTTTCCTTTCTTTCAGTTCTGGGAAATCCAGTTAATTATACAAATGAGAGCAAACGTTATGTGCTGAGTCAGTGCTGTGGGGGAAGCAGTAGTGTGGCTTCCTGGCCTAGCATGGTTCTCTGTTGAAATTGTTGTACTAGATCAGTGTTGCCTTCCTGAAATCTCTGCTCTGACAGAGCTGTAACTGAACTGTTTTATGTAAAAAGTCATATTTTTTTCTTGTGCAGAATGTGAAGAAGCAGATGTCATGTCTGAAGGAAAAAAATATACAAGATATCAGAGTTTGATTTGGGAGTTCCCACTCTGGGGCTATAGACTGCCTGCAGCTTTCCATGTGGAAAGGCTTTTCTGACAGTTACTTAAGGTTGTTCTTTATGAAGGATGTACCAATGTTTGTTTTCTCTGCTGTAAACTGGTTGCTGTTTGTCCCCTTATTGCTGTGTGCAGGTGAAGAGGGCTGGAGATGTCTGGGATGTGGGGACAGCATTGCAGCTGGGCAGTGCCTGCACAAGACTGTCAATGAGGCTTGGCACATCTCCTGTTTCAGGTAGGTGAAGCTGCAGCTTTCAACCCTCCTTGTGCTGTTCCCCTGGCTGGGACCTGCTGGTGAGGTCCCAGCATGAGCTGGGGATTCCTGCAGTGCTCTCTGTGCCCGACCTGTTCCCAGCTCCTTTGTGGCTGCACCTCAGGGACAACATCCAGTCCCCAGAGCAGCTGACACTGCCTGGCACAGATAAAGTGCAAATAAAAGCTCTGATTTACTGCTGGTGGTAGAAGCCATGGGTTACATGTTTGTCTTCTGCAGCATTCCAAAGCAGTGCCCAGGCAATTTGCACAGCCTGTGGCTTTTTCCACGTGTGGTAGGTGCAAGGTTGTTAGTAGGGTGCTGATAGAGATCTTGCCTTTTGCTTTCTCTCCTTTCCAGACTCTTAAGAGAGACAGACTTATGAAATCTGTTAGATAATGTTGCTGTCAGCAAGGACAAAAAGGGATGTGTGCCATGGTGGTAGGAGTAATTCCTCTTTATGGTGTTCCATGAATACTCAGTCCAGTGTTCATGCTCCAGAATCACATTTCTGAAGGAGTCTGTATTTTTGAGAGAGGTTCAGTACCTGCAGCTTCTAGTGGCTTCTATCTTGGCTTGAATATGGGGAGGTTCCTGTTTTGGATACTGTTGAAGATAGTTGAACATTTGGATAATGTTGAAGAAAGTGGGGGAAAAGGAAGCCAAAGTGTGGCTTTGGAGGAATGTTTTCTGTGCCAAAATAAGCATCTATTGTCCTTGTTTAAAGAACACAAGGAAAAAACCCCAACAAAATACTCCATCTTTGTTGAAGTGAGGCTTGTGGTTATTGGTATATTTTAAAAAAATAAAGCATCTCATGCTGCCAAAGCAGTGCAGGCTCAGTTGAGTTGGAAAATGCTGTTTTAGTGACACATTAATATTCACAATAATATTTTTATTTCATTACAAATCCCGGTATTTTGGATTTCTCTTGGTTTTAGTGATCATGTTTAGCCATAATGAAGCAGCTTTTCTTAATCCTGGTTTTCTCTTTTCCCTGAAGGATGAGTATCCTGCTGAGCTTCCCTAGACTGTGCCAGTAGCCAAACCCCAAGCTGTGTGTGCTGGGAAGTCTGTCCCTCTTGCCATTGAATGTATTTCTCTTGTGGGTCTTGATTTGCAAATGTTTTGGTGTTTCTTGCTGTTGGGGCTGTTGAGGTGAGGAGCTGCTGAGCTGGAGGCAACTCCTGCCTTTGGGACACTTCACAGAGGATTTGTTTTTATAGGTTATATTGTGTAATGGAGGTTTGGTTGTTGCTTCTGGGCTGGTTTGTTTTATACAAGTGATGACACCAACCTTTCTCTGAGCTGTGTAGTCACTTTTTGCATTTGCTGATGCACTTCTTGTGCCTTTGCTGAGCTCAGTGAGCAGTTGGAACCTGCAGCAAAGGAAGCTGCCCTCCCCTTTTTCCTAGTTCCAGGGTAGGACCGACATGAGAACAAGTTTCCAGTTTGCCCTGTGTTCCTCCTTTCCTTCTGCTGTCCCTAAGCCATGCTGAGCAGCACTCTTGTGCCTGATGTCCCAAAGGCAAACTTGAAAAAGCCTCTGAGGGTAGGAGGCTTTGGCAGTTGGGAGCTGTGAGTTCCGGCAGCTCTTGTGCAGTGTTTTTTACAGTCTTCCTGTGGATTAGCTGACTCCCTGGCCTGGCACATCGTTTCTCTAATGCAGCTTGGCCCTGCTCCAGGCTCGTTAGCTCTGTTTATTCTTGGTGCTGGCAGGGGTGACGTACATGAGCGTCTCTGAGGATTTCAGTTTTTGTCACTTCCCTCCTTCCTCAAACTGCATCTACAGGAGCTTTTGTCTCTGCAACCTGCATTTTCTCTGCTGTGGCTTGAGGGAAGAGCAAATCCCTGTTTGTAGATCTTGGATATTTTAGACTGTTCTTTGGCCAGCTGGTTCCTTAGGCTTGAATCTGATGGGCTGGATCTGGCTGAGGAAGTTTCTTAGATGTTTCTGTCACAGAGTCTGTTGGGAATTAACTCTGAATGTGCTTTTGTGCCTCCGAGTTCTGTTGAGACAGCACACACTCTCAAAGGTCACTGCTTTGCACAGTTTGACTGGATTTGGAAATTGCATTGCACAGAACTTCAGACATTACACCAAGAAAGGGA